ACACCGCCCTGCTCGGGGGGGCCGCGCGCCCCGCCCTTCTATGGCAACGGCCGCGCCCCCGAGCAGGGCCGCCACGATGAGTCGGAACCCCAGCAGCCGAGTGGCCGTCCTCACCGGCATGGTGGCCGCTTCCCGTACTCCGCCAACGTCCCCGCTCGGGATGCAGCCCAACAACACCGGGTTTGCGGGCGAGGCTGGCCGCGGGCGACTGAAACACCTTGGTGCTCTAGAGACTGCGGCTCACTCAGCGACAGAGGGCAGTGCGCAGGCGCACTCTGAGCTCGCCCCGCCCAATCTCGGTTGCCCTCGGCTTCTTGCAGTACGCGTGCGCAAGGACTTTCGCGTCCATCTCCACGGACGCCAGACTGAGGCGGCGCCTGCGCAGCTCTGCCGTTCCTCTAGGTTGCAAAGCTGGGTCCCGTTGAAGCAGTGGGGACACCTGGCCAGCTGAGATCGCGAGGGCCTTCTGGCGCTGGCACTATCTCAAATAGTAAAAGTTACAGGAGAGTGCCAGTGGTGGTGCACACCTTTAATCCCAGCACTTGGGAGCCAGAGACAGGAGCATCTCTGTGAGTTCGAGACCAGCCTTGTCTACAATAGTGAGTTCCAGAACAGGCTCCAAAGCTACAGAGAAACCCTTTCTCGAAAAACAAATAACAAAATGTTCCTCAATACATCACACCGTTGGCCATGAATGTTAGTAAAATGTTCTGTATTTCTCAAAGATGCTGAGTAGGAGAGACCCATTTTTGTGAGTGTGTGCTCCAATACTCATTCATATGCCATGACTCAGACCTGTGGAGACCAGAGGACAGTTTTCAAGAGTTGTTTTCTTCTTCCAGTGTGTGGCCCTCACTAATGGAATTAAAGTCAGGTTTAGTGGCAGGCACCTCTATCCACTGAGCAATCGAGCTGGCCCTAAAGTTTATAAGAGATGCCTCTATTCTAAACTAATCCAGTTTCCTAGCTATGCCTTTTTTACCTTGTATAATCCTGCATTCAAATGCATGTGATATCACATCAAACTACACTGAGATATAGAGGCCACTGTAAGTAGCTCGAAGCTAGAGACTTTAGATGTTTTGTCTCTTTGTGTCACATCTCGGAAATGCTATTAAAGTGTTTGCTGAAAGAGTGAAATTAATCTATCCTGTGTGCATTGCTTTGCATTCAGATACCTTCTACTAATGTAAAAGGTTTGTAGTTGTGTAAAATCAAATTATTAATACTATACAAATGTAAAAAATAAAAGTGCTCATTGTACACTGTGTCCCACATGGTGAGCAAAAGACCTTTCATAATGACCTTGCTTGAAAATTTATTTCATGTACCACAGCAGAAAGGGAGCTCCTTAGGAGCTCGCCTAGATTCTCACCTGTCTTGCCACGGCCTAGCCTGGAACCTGGCCCAGAAAAGTCATTTATCCACCCTTTCCAGCCCAGTACCTGTCCACTTGGATGTGTAACAGATATTTTTTCATGTCAAAGGTTAAATTCCATTCCCCAGACCAGTTTGCCTCCCTTACTCTACACTGTCTCTGTCACAGACACACAAGAGGCTCCACCTTGGACTTTCTTCATCTCAACAAATAGAAGCAGAGGGGCTGGAGAGATGGCTCAGAGGTTAAGAGCATTGCCTGCTCTTCCAAAGGTCCTAAGTTCAATTCCCAGCAACCACATGGTGGCTCACAACCATCTGTAATGGGGTCTGGTGCCCTCTTCTGATCTGCAGGCACACGGACAGACAGAATATTGTATACATAATAAATAAATAAATAAATAAATATTTTAAAAAAACAAATAGAAGCAGAATTCCAGCAATTGTTTTGCTCAAACCCCAGTCTCTTTCTCCCACCCTGTATCAACCCTTAAACACTGCCTATTGAGGATCTGCCATAAAGTAAAACCAGGATGTGGTCCTTACCACCACGATCACTATGATCTCTCCCACACAGTAACTACACACAGAGCCTGTTTCTATAGCATCCTTGAGGGAGAACAGAAGCAACTTGGTTGATAGAGTCCTTATCTAGCATGCTTGAACCCCTGGGCTCCATTCTCAGTACCTCACAAACCTGGTACACACAGGTGGAGGCAGGAGAATCAGAAATTCAAAGTCATCCTCAGCTACATGATGAGTCTGAGACAACCTGAGATCCATGAGACAGGTGTGGTAATGCCAGCCCTCAGGAGGCAGAGACAGGTGAGCTCAAGGGCAGCCTGGTCTACATGGTGAGTGACGGGCCAGAATTACATAGTAAGACCCTGCCTCAAAAACAAAAGGCGAGGAGGCAGAGGAGCAGGAGAAAAAGCAGAACAGGGAAAAGACTCAATCACCCACAGATTAGGGGCTGGGAGGACCCTGGATCCAGTCTGCCGCCAGATATGGAGAAAGGACTGTATTTCCAGCACAGAGCCTACATGGATGCTGTTAAAACATGAAAGATCTTGCCTTTTTCCGCTCCAAAACCTCCTTTGATTTTCCATCTCGTAGAGTAAAAGCCACAGCCAACCCACTGCCTCTCCAATTCTTCCTCTTCTTTCGTCTGAGTCAGCCCCAGTTGGCCTCCTTGTTTCATCCACATCCCGGATACAATTTCATCTTAGCAGACAAGGTTATCTAAGCAGGAACTAATGAACATAACTATAAAGAATTTTAGCTGGGCGCAATAGCTCATGCATGTGATCGCAGTATTCAGGAGACAGAAGCAGAAGGATCATCTATGAGTTCAAGAATGATGCCGGGCTCCAGAATGAGTTCCAGGAGAGCCATGGCTAGGGTGAGACTCTATCTCAAGCAAACCAACTTGATGCACTGAACTGTTTTTCCCTTTTAATCATGTAGCATTTTTAGCATTCGTTTTATGAATATGAGCATTTTGTTCCTGTGTCTATGTGTCTTAGGGTTTTCTACTGCTGTGAAGAGACACGGTGACCATGGTAACTCTTATAAAAGAGAACATTTAATCGAGGTGGTTTACTTACAGTTTCAGAGGTTTACTCCAGAATCATCAGGCTGGGGAACACGGCAGCCTGCAGGCAGACATGGTGCTGGAGCTGAGAGTCCTACATCTTGACTCAGAGGCAAAAGGAAGTTGACTGTCACTGTCACAGGGAGGGAAGCTTGAGAAAAAGACCTCAAAGCCTGCCCCTACAGTGACACACCTCCAACAGAAGGTGTGGCCCAGATTAAAGGTGTGCCCTCCAACCTCAAGGTCTGGATTAAAGGTTTGTGTCCTCCAGTCTCCTCCAGCAAGACCACACTTCCAACAAGGCCACACTTCCCAATAGTGCCACTCTCTATGAGCTTATGGGGGCCAAATACAAACTACCACAGTATGTATGTGCACATGCCTGGTGACCTTGGAGGTCAAAAGAGGGCATCAGATACCCTGGGACTGGAGTTACAGACAGTTGTCAGCTACCATGTGGGTGCTGGGAACCAAACCCAGTGCTCTTGAAGAGCAACCAGGGATGCTAACCTCTAAGCCATCTCTCCAACTCTTTCTTTTAGAAATCACTTGGTGTGAGCAGACAGAGAGACGCTGACCACCATGCCTGACCATCTGAGTTTGATCCTTGGGACTGCACCGTGGAAGGGAAGAACTGACCCCCGCAAGTTGTCCTCTGACCTCCATGTGCACATAGTGGCCCATGCAAGCACGCACAAGTGCGCGCGCACACACATATACATGAATGAATGAAGAAATGTAATAAAAACACATTTTTCTTAGTTGTTTGTTGTTTTGTTTTTGAGACAGGGTCTCATCATGCAACCCAGACTGTCTTGGAACTCACTATGTAGACCAAGTTGGACAAGAAATGGCAGAGATCCACCTGCCTCTGCCTCCCGAGTGCTGTGATTTAAAGTGTGTGTCTACCCCCAACTCTGAAACTATATTTAAAAAAACCATCTGGGACCTGTGAAAGGTGGTACCTCTATCTCTGGGGAGGTAGAGGTAGGCATATTTCTGTGAGTTTGAGACCACCCTGGTCTACATATCAAGTTCCAGGACAATCAGGGCTATGTAGAGAAAACCCTGTCTTTAAAAAAAAAATGATTTGAGCTGAGCGATGGTGGTGCACGCCTTTAATCCCAGCACTCGGAAGGCAGAGGTAGGCAGATCTCTGTGAGTTCAAGTCTATCCTGGTCTACAAGGTGAGTGCCAGGATAGGCTCTAAATCAACACAGAGAAACCCTGTCTCGGAAAACCAAATATATATAATTTGATCCGCACATTAACCTTTTGAAAAAGGTTGTAATTGTTGTCCTTATTCTATAAATAAAAAAAAACTCTTTCAAGATCAGGAACACTAAGGATGAAGTCCAGATATAAACCCAGGCAGGCCAGCAAGCTCTTCCCCTAGATGTTCACCTGACTCAGAAAAATCTTCTCAGTGAGTCCTAACATCATCATAACTGAAATGTCCCCAGACCTAGCCTTGCATATCTCCTCTCCCTACTTTATAAATCCCAATAGTTACCTGATAGTCGGTATATATGCTATATACATACAAGTCTTAAAATTAAATGCATTTATTTATTTAGGTGGGATCAGGGAGGCCAGGGCACCACAGTGCACACGTGCAGGTCAAAGGACCCCTTAGGGAGCTCAGTTCTCTTCTACCACGTAGACCCTGGAAATCCAGTTCAGGTCATTATGCAAGATGGCATGGCCTTTACCCACTGAGCAATCCTGCAGATCCTACGTACAAACTTTATTAAGATGTTATTAATACCGTGCACCGTTCAATTCATTAGTTTAAATTGCACAGTTTATTGGGGTTTGCTAGCATGAGTGGAAGGGCATGACTATAACCATAATCAACTTACAATATTTTCTTCACCCTAAAAAGACATTCTATGCTTATAGGAGTCATTTATGCCCTGCTTCCTTCATGGCCCATGTTCTCCCAATACCCGGAGTCCTAGACAATCATTTTCTTCTCTATGTCTTTACCTATTGTGGATAGTTCATACAAATGGAATTACATCATATGTGTCTTTTGTGAATGAATTCTTCCTCCTTTTTAGCATGATTGATGTCATAATCTTTGCTTGCTGATATGTATGTATGTGCACCATGTGAGTGCATGGCGCTCACGGAGGCCAGAATAGGGAAACAAAACAAAATAATCCAAAGCATTGCCAACTCCAAGGTGAGGATGTAGTTCAGCTGGGAGAGGGCTCGCCTAGCATGCCTGAGACCCTGGGTTCATTCATAGCACCCTCTACGGGTGAACGTCCCCATTCCTAGCAC